AATGTAATTGCGATTGTCCTGCCAGGGAGAGGCTCTGAGGCAAACTCTGGATTTCCAAAGGTAGCCAGGCCTCATCTCAACAGGGCATGCGATTAGGGTTCTCATGTTTCTGTTTTATCTTTCTTTCTGTCCATTGCTGCATTTGCTGTATTTGCTCCCTTCTTTTTTTTCCCAACAGTACCAGGAGGCTATTGTACTTGAAGGTGACTATTTAGGAGTTTCTCTTTTTTAAAAAATAATATAAACTAATTATAGCTGTATAAAATGATGAAGAGATGTAAGGGACCTCTCCTGTACCTTTACCCAGCTTTGCTGCATACTAACATCTTATGAGACTATAAAATAGCAAGAACCGCAGGAAATTGTCAGTGATGTAGCTACAGTGTTTGTTCACATTTAATTGGGATTGATTTTTTGAACAATCACTGTTTATACTTGATAATCAATTAACACTATAGTAAAGACTGAAATTTATTTCATGTGTTTATTGTGGGTTTGTGAGTTTATGTAAGTGTGATTACTGGTGTGTCTGTGTGTGTGCGTGCGTGCAGTGCAGAATGTCTTTCTCATTTTGTAAGACAATTTTGGGCAAACAATAGAAAATAATATATAAACACATTTAAAAACTTTAAGATACTAAATATAATGAAGTACAGGGCCCCAAACTTTTAATTTTCTCATTGAAGGACAATATCCATAGACGATAGGCTGTACATACATTCAGCTTCAGAACATGTGGCTATGTGTGGGGGAACTGGAGTGTACAGTGGAGTCAACGAAAATTTCATCTAAGCTATCAAATCAGAGTCACAGAGATGGCAGGGATCTTTGATCCTGATATAGTTATGTACACATTACTGTATTTTGAAATATTGAATGGCAGAAGATCTCAAATCTCTGATTGAAACTTCAGACAATGAACATGTACTTTTTATGGGTGGATCTCCTTCTGTTTAGCTGGCTTTACAAGGTCTTTGTTATGAAAGTGAGGCTCTGCCTTTCCTACAACCTTCATGCACTGGTCTTGGTTCTGTCATTCAGGACCTGGCAGAACGGAGGTCACCTGGAGAAATCATCATTCTCCTGAGCTCTCTCTTCTCTGGTTAAATGATTTAAGTCCTTCTTAATAATGTGCACCTCAGGGAAACATGCTAAGTAATGGTTGCGTTCACTAGGTCAGACTCCAGTAATGCAAGGACTGACCACAACACCCCACAATCAAGGGCTGCACCAAGATCTTTGTGTCTGACAACGATATTGGAATTCATGTTCCTACAAACACATTAGCATGGTTTTCTTTTTCTCTTTTACTTACATCCCAGTTTACTTTATATTGATTTTAAAATCAATTACTATCCCCTGCGTATGTTTTTCGAGCTTCAGTATTTAGCCATGTCTCCCTCATTGTGTGTATACATAGTCTCTGGCATCAGAGTAGGACTTCATGAAGAGCCTTCTTAGGTGAAGCCTATTGTGCCGACTATTGAGATTTTCTTTTATCTTGGCTCCATCACTAAATATATTTATTGTCCTATTGGGTCCCCACTGCCTGCAATCTTTAGAAATTGTCCTTGAGAAAGTCTTGCACATAAAAGGGTGAACAGGAGACCATCCGAGAGCTATAGATTCTAACTGCAGCATGTTGACCTCCTATTAATGTTAAATTTTAATTTAGCTATTACGTTTTGCTAAGGCTTGACACAGGAGTGGCTACACAAAATGACTCTGTATTTTCAATGACGCTATATTAGGTGATTCAATGTCTCATTTGTAAGAGCCCCATGGGAAATCTCTTTTCTAGCAGAAATGATAAAAACAAGAGTTGAAGTGTTATGAGTTTCCCTCTGTTTTGACTTATAAGAAAAAAAATCAATTGCTCAATTGCTGTATCCTTTCTTTATTTCCACTTATTGATCTCCCCTCTCTCTCCTTTTATTACCTGGCATTTCATGATATCATCGCTGTTTTAATGATAAATTTCGGCAGATATCAATAGCATATCATTTCTAAAGGTAAGTTGTAAAAATAACAAAAAATAATGATGCCATTAGGAACATCATTTAAGATTCTTGGGTCTATAGGATAATTTAACATTTAATTAGATCAGTAGGGAATTGTTTTCAGAATGCTTCCTAAAGTGCCTCACCCTTTCAAATCACTTCTTTGAAAAATTCACAGCTTAGAGTGCTATTTCCTGAAAATCTTCCATATGTATCTTCCTAGGCAGGGCCTTGATTCAAAGCAGGCATTTCCATCACTGATCATCTGCTAACCTTGCCCTTGGTTTGTTTTTGGTATTTCAATTTCAGGGTCTCCAACCTCATTTTACTGTAAAATACTTTATTTTCACTAAATACAATGACTTGCATGAAATTCTTTCTACTGAAAGGACCTCTGGACCCAGAGCTAAAAGCCCAGGCTCCTGGGCTTGCATCAGCTACTGTTTCAGTGACTAGGGGCAGGGTAGTTGTAAGCCATGCAGTTTCTCATTATAGAAAAATACCTTGAGATAAGGATCCGATAAAATGGACAGAGTTTTCTTTCTGATTTACTTTAAAAATATTTCTTTTCTTCGAGATTAATAATTCCTTCCTTCTATTTTCTCTCTCTTCCAAGCCCTCCTTACACCTCCCCTTGCTCTCTTTCAAACTCAGGGCCGTTTTTGTTTTCACTAATTGTTGCTCCATAGATATGTGTATATATGATTTACTCTTAAACACATTGAAATAGGTGACTGCTACCATGTGTTGTATGGAGGTGCAGTATTTTAAGTTGTAGATCTAAGCTCAATAAACCAGACTACGGCGAGGGCAATGATATAGCACTATACCCAAAGCAACACCCTAGCCAAGACAGGTGTGAGCATTTGTTCGACTAAATGCAGTGAACTGATGATGGTTGCTCCTTAACAAACTGTGTCGGAAATTTAACAAACTCTGTTGAAATTAGTGCCTTGTTCACTAACATGATATGGCCAATATGGAAACTTCTAGTAAATTGCAGCTTTTAGGTAAACGTGGACTCCAGAGTCCCTGGAAACATGAATGGGGTGTAAGAATCCTGTTCATGGGGTTAGCAAGAATGGAACATAAGATAAAAGTTAAACTGTATGCTTAATAAAAATTATGGTTCTCTGTTTATATAAGGATAAAAAAATTGACCCTGGAATATTCCTGAGTCAGATATACATTTCTTCCAAGTTCATGGCTGCTACACCCGAATGGACAGAGAAGTGGGACCTCACCAGCTTCACTGAAGAGAGGTGATGGCAACTTTCTTATTAATAAACATATACTAATTTGCAAATGTACATCAGAATTTCCTTTAAGGTTTCTTTTCACCACATTAATAAAAGCATACTCCTGGCACTTTAAAAATCGCACTGGCTTCAACCTTCTTTACTGGTCACAATTACTTACCAAAGGTGCATGTGACCAAATGTCACAGGATGATATCCGGTAGACAGGTGGCCTCACTAATTGTCGCCAGGGCTCTTACAATTAGCAACTATTCTGCCTGCTTGCCTTTGAGATAGCAGAGCTGGGGATTAGACACAATTAGTCTGTAACAATATGGTAAAACTAGGTCTGTTTGATTTCATTGTTGCATTGCTCCCTGATGCTTCCCAGGTTCACCACAAGGTCACTGCAAGAATAGATGCCTGATTGTGAAATGCTTGGAGCCCAAGCTCTGCTCCTTGCAAACACGTGGGTTAAGCAGAGTCTGTTTGCTCCCCTGATAGAGTTCAAAGTCAGTTTACCTATTGGATTGATGATTAATGTCAAATGGCTATGGTTACTTTGTACAACTACAATGAGTATGCACACATTTGAGTGATATATTTTTTGCTACCCTTCTTCATATTCTTAAACCTGCCCATTCTTTAGATCTGCAAAGTATACTCAGAGAAATGATAAATTAGTAACCTGACGCCTAGCTTATTGTGTATCCTAATGTTTGACCCTGCTTGTGATTCTCTATCAGAAAGCTGGGCGCTAAAATTATCACTGGCTACAAGCTTAGAAAAGTGATAGTTATTGAAAGGTCAGTAAGACACTTATCTCCAAGCACTCTCTCCTAGAGGAAGGAGAGGGAGTGGTAATTTGGGGATTGCAATGATGATATCAAATATTCATGGACGGCTAATTTTGATGTTATTAGAGCATAGCAGAGTCCAATGGAATAGCTTTTGCTAATATAAAACAGCTATTTTTGTAGTATGAAATAAGTTTTTATGTTTTAAATATAAACAAACGCAGATAAGAGAACAGATATAAACAGAGAAATTATTCTACATTTAGCAATAAAAGGTCTCATTTCAAACAATATGTTAAGTATTGGGTTTTGAGCATAAACCAACGCAGCTACAAAGAACCGATTATCTACCTTAAAAGTCAAACCTTAAATTCTTTTAGTAAACGTTTATAGGTCAAGGGGTAAGTGTATCTTCATAAATTCAAGTCCTGGAACTCGTGTTCTTGGATTGGTTATGTTTGGTACAAGTGGAAAATAAAGGCAAATACCTATTTGTTTCCCAGTATGCTATTTCTTGGGGTGGGGTTGTGGCGTGGGGGTGCAGTACTCATCTATGCACATGCCCAATGCCTAGCATTGAAACAAAGGAACGAATGAACAGACAAAAGGAAAACAAAACCTCAAACCCAACCGCTTACAGGAATTTAGGATGAAAACGACATTGAAATTACATTCTTTTGAACACTAATTTAATAGCAGTATTCTGAGGGGGAAATTCTATGCGATAATTTCTTGGCATTATTTTCTAACTATTGATATTTATTTTGTGTGTGCAGGATGAAGTGAGACATAGGAATATAGAATTATTGCCTTTATAGGTTTATATCCATTCAATCCCGGGAAAGTGGTTGGATATGGGTATAAAATTACTGTCTGTACTAGATTTTCACAACTGGCTTCGTTGGTAGGGGTAGGAGAAGGCACATACTTAGGGAGAAAAAATTCTGTGTGTTTTATCAACATACCACGCCGTTCACTGAAAGCAGCTGGTCGCCTCTCTTGAGCCCTCCGTGTCTTTCAGCTACCCCTCCGGGGATGATTCGGGAGATATAAATTGGGGAGTTCTGTTCCTTTCCTCCCATCACGTTGAAACCCAGGCCTTCATCAGTCTTTGGCAGTTCGACTACCCGAGGGTGGGAGTGACCTTCGCTGGCTGCAAAGGCTGCAACTGTTGCCTGAAAGAAAAGATGGTCTTTTGGTAATAAAACAGGGGAAATAAGGCTACATAAATGGTCTTCAGGGGGCAACTTCTTAGATATCCCTCTAGCTGTCTCCTGTAGAACGAAGAACACAGAATGTCTTCTTTTAGATGCTGTATATGACTATCTTCTTTGGTAAATCCTCAGCTAGTTATGTGTATGTAAGTTATTTATGTATAACATACATACATGTGTATGTAGTTATGTGTATGTAAGGCTTATCTACTCTGAAAAGTAAAACTGAAAACAAAGGCACTGTAGAATGTTCCAGAGTTCTGTCAGTTACATGGAAATCCTGATCAAGGACTACAAACCGATTCAGTACACATACTACCTGGTATATATAGCTGTTGAATGCATGCTGACCACACGCATTTCACGGGCAGGCTGTACCATGCTTTTGCTATGGCACACAGTCTATGTTCTTGCCTGCACATATATGTTCATCAATACTTATTAAATAAGCTGATGAGCACTTTTGTACATATATATTCATGAAAATACATGTAATCTTGTTATCACTGAACCACTGGTTTAATAAGCGTAAGGGTTTTTTAATGTTTTGAATTTAGAATGTCTAAAAGAACATTAAAATTAAAATTAAGTACTGGATCAAAAGGTATTATTGTTCTACCAATATTCCATATTACTATGGACAGCATCTTATTAGGCCTTTGATTATATCTCTCTTAATTCTGTACTAACATTTCAGCTGGTCTAATGACACAGGCAAACCGAACAGCTTGGGGCTTTATACCTAGGTATACAAAATGTTACGCAATATGGTCATAGGTCTATGTTAAAATGAACACATCAGCTTCTTCAAATTCAAGTGATCAACTTACCATTAGCTCCCACCCAATATGAATAACATAGTAGTTTCAATCAAGAAAAGATTCGCTGCCCGCTTTTTGTATTCCACTTCCATTAGCTCGCCTTAACCACAGCTGATTAGATGCCTAGCATAGAGTGATTTTCTCTCAACACTGACAATATTGATTCCCAACTCCTGTGCCTTCTTTTCCCACACACAACATTATCACATCAACTTGGCATTATGCTACTGCCTGCATTTAATGAAAGATAGTGAACGGCGTGGAGATAATGGCTTGGTTTTAGCTACATGCATTTGCGCATGCACACCCTGCTGCCATGCAAAGGTTTTCAATGGCGGACATGGATGCAATGCAGACAGCCCAGAAACCACCAGAAAAGATGGCGCCGCTGCAGCGCTATGCTGCCGTCCTGCTGTTCTACATGAATAAGAAATGAGAATGGTAAAACACTACATAATTCACTTTCCCCTTAATTAAACCATGTAGGGATCATTTTTTTCTGCGTGTGTTCCACTTCAGAACAAGCAAAGCATGATGTAATGGTAATCATACCCTCTATTTGCCGGGGTTAGGGAGGGAGAAAGAAACTTAAAAATCCACAGTATTTAGTTACAGGATGAAGACTGAAAATATCGGGGGAGAAATCAAAGGACAGGTGATAGAATGCAAAGGAGTTGAATGAAAGAGTCTTGAGTATTCTCACTTCTTGGTATCATTATTGGGAAGTTACATGCCCTTTACGGAGAAAGTTACATTCTGTTAAAACATTTCTCTATATGTACAATAGGAGGCGCGGAGCTGCAGGAGCGACTTCAGATTACCACTATTATTTCCTAGTGATCCATCTTCCAGAAAATGTCACGATCCTCTTTCTGTACTCTTTCCAAGGGGACCTTGGTAATCCCTGGGTTTGATCCTTTAAAGAACAAAAGCGATACCTGCCAACAAGCAAATCACCCACTGCTCAGCTGAATAAAAAAAGTTCTCTGCCTCACTAGTGTCAGGTGAAGCCTTTCGTGTCTAACTTACATTGGGGGCTTTTGACCTGTGCAAATGCATTCTCATGCTCTCCAGAGGACATGGGTTCTTTTGCATCTGCAGGATGTACCAGAGACCATGTAGAACTTGATACAGTGAAGCCGCAGGTTTGCTTGTGCCAAATGGACATTTAGTGAGTTTAATGACGTCATTCTCCTTCCTTAAGCTACAGAAGCAGCAGAAAAAGGTCAATTTTTCCATTAGGATTTTTACCTGGTAAGGAGTACTGGTTCTAGACTCTGGGCTGGCACTGAGGTCTAAATTCTCTTACAGTGTACACACGAGAATACCTGAAACACACACGCGCACAATCAATTACTACGTCACTGGGGTCAAGTATACTTTTAAAGTTGCTCAAGTCTTACCTTTGCTGTGGCCCTCGCACGGAATTCAGGGCAGCCGTTAACAGTGATCGTTTCATGCATGTATTGATACACCTAAAACAGTCACGTAAGAAAAGATATGTAAGGATATGTCAGGATATATCAATTTTTTCATTACCGATAGGACAGCAAATTTTCATTGTAGAATGATGGGTGTTCTCTATCACAATTGGTGAGTCAATTATTGTGATGATTTGAAGCAAATATACTTTCTACTTTGTGTGTATGTGTGTGTGTGTGTGTGTGTGTGTGTGTGTGTGCTGGGCCAGGAGAAGCAATTGCATTTAGTCAGAGTTTTTAATCTGTCTGTTCATATATATAAGCTACAACACCCCTTTTATTTCTGATTTTGTAAAACTCTATCAATGTTTTTAATGCTTTTGTATGTATGTGTTTATGCATGTGTGTATGTATACATGTATCTCTAGCTAAAAATCAATTATTAAGTTTCATGGACAGTTACTTCTTGAATTTGGCAAAATTTTATAAGTAATTCTCTAAGTTAAGATCACAGTATATTACCTGGCTTGAATTCCAACATGTTGGAAGGTGTGTTGCTATTAGTGATACACATTTATGCTTTTGAATAACCAGGGCTAAGCATTGCCATAAGCCAATAGGATACTCAATTAGTCCCTTAAGCACAGAGGTGAAATTGGTATTCTAGAGAAACTGTGAGGTAAGAGATTTGTAGAATTAATGATTCGGCTTTCATGATGCATTGGTACTTAATACGTGATAAAACTGAGGTGAAACAGAAATGGCAAGACAAGCCTGGAATCAGGAGGCTTTTCTGTCTCATGGATTTAAGTTTGCACCTCGTTGAGGAACCATGAGAGTGTGTGCCACAATACTTTGTCTCTCCGCCAGTCTGGAAAATGAGTAAGGAATGTTGACTAGGTAGGGTTTAAGGGATCTGGCTCCTAATGGTATTCCTAAAGTAGCAGATAACACAACTAATTGGTGTTTAAGACACACTAGTAGAAGAAATTGCTGGACCACAATAAATAAAAACAGTTTTCCTTCTACCAGTCTAGTGAGGAGGTCATGAAATCTTTCGGTCAGTGATAACAAAACTGCTTTGTCTTACAGAAACTGAACAATTCTTAATGTCATAGTTTGAAGAAGATACTTGGTCAGAAAATAAGGTTACAGATGTTGGAGTGTATGGTATATGCTTATTATTTTGAGTTTAAATAATGAAGTTATAAAATCTATCACATAACGCATGGAGATGAAAAGCCCCTTTGGCATTATGCTGCGGGATTTTATTTTGGAGAGAAGAATGAACCACTAATTAGCTCCTGAAAGAATGAAGTAGGAAAAAAAATCTGCCATCAAAAGTCTAAAGGAGTATTTCATCCTTTCAATTATTCTTATGTTGAATGCCTGAATCAGAGGTTATTATTAAAAAGAACCCCAAATTCGGCAGCTGTTTACTAAGATTTGAGGCTAGTCTCTCAGCCCGTGCAGCTGGCTCCTTATTTCTCAAATGCATTTGGTGGAGTCTCCATCAATGCCAGCTCAGCCAAACTAGCTGATGTTCTCAGAGGTAAACTGTTACAGTGATCTACAGATTACTGAAATAGCTGCCAAACAAATTTCCGTATTAGCCTGGAAAGAGGAGCATTTTACTTCCTTGATAGTTCTTTAAAAATTTATTTGCTCTCCCAGCTCATTAAGAGGATGCTCTCTCTCCCCTCACCTGACCCTTCTGTCCATCTCAACTCTTTTTATTTATTTATTTATTTATTTTTTTATTTTGCGACAGAGTTTACTCTGTAGTTTAGGAACCTGTACTGGAACTAGCTCTTATAGACCACTCTGGCCTCGAACTCACAGAGAATCACCTGCCTCTGCCTCTGCCTCTGGAGTGCTGGGATTAAAGGCCTACATCACCACCACCTGGCTCCATCTCAATTCCTGTAGGACGCCCCGCCCCTTACTCATACATAGACTCACTACCCAGCGTCAAACACCCTTCACTACAGCCGCCTGGTCAAGTACCCAGCTAACCATGCATCTAGTACACTTTTGGAGGGTCTACTGCCCTCCAGTGACAAAGCCAGGACAGAGATGACCGTGAAGAACACAAAACTTTTCTTCATTTTGTGTTCTTGGCTCCTGCAGTTCTCCAGACACAGCAAAGATTTCCCCTTCCACTTGTCCAGATCTTTGACCATCCTTATAACTCTGATTAAAACACGCCTCCACCAGGCAGGTACTTATTTATTCCAGTTTATCAGGATGTTTAAGGGCCCAATTCAATACTCATCTCCTTTGTTAAATCCCCTCCTGCAAAGCAGCGTTACATTTTCTTCCCCTTTCACTTCCGGAACCTTCTGACTTCCCTGAACCTCATGTTGATTAGCGTTTCCGGGGAACATGATGCATTTGCTTGCATCCACAGATGTTTATAAGGAACATCACGTGGCAAATAATTAAAAGATTGCCGTCAACTGATTAAGACTAAAGGTCATTTTTTGTTCGTGAGTAACTGCTCATCCTTAATAAATATGGCAAATTAAGAATTTTTAATTAAAAACCGAGGGGTAGAACTGTTAGATATTTGCGTAGGCTCTGGAGATGGCTTTAAAAACAAACCCTGGCTGTGCGGCTTTCCAATTTTATGATGTTGGTCAGTTAAGTGCTTGATTTCCCTGGGGCTCAATGTTCTCAGTTGAACAACGTACCGTACAATGGTACCTTCCAGGTCTTTTATGAGGATTGGATAAGATCATAACTAAAAGTTTGCTAATATCACTGTTGTCATTGTTGCTGTTTATTTGATGTTGCTCATTTTATTTGACCCTGGGGTCTTCAGGGTAAAATCTCCCAGGATAAACAGTTTATGAACAGCTGTAGCTCGCAACTGGGGACAAATTTGCCCTGCAGGAGACGTCTGATAGTGTCTGCTGCCTTTAAACAAGCAGTAGCTGCAAATGTACACAGGGCAATGAATGCTGTATTCAAAAAAAAAAATTCAACACTCCAAACCAAAAGTGAATGAGATAGCATTTTAATCCTTTTAATAATGCTAACATTATCATTATCTACATTTTTATTTCTATAAAGCACAGTAGGTTCTGAATGCTTGGTCTTTGAACATGAAATAAAGGACATATGGTCTTAGTGATTGAGTCAGGTCAAAATTTTGAGGTATTCCTTCTGTTTCCATTAGCTCTATCACCTAAGAAACTTCCACCCATTTCCTAAGGGAAAAGATGTATCCTTGCACATCTTTCATTTCAAGGACAACTATCAATACATTTGAATCTTTTGAAGAGCATTGTCAGGGAAAGCCAGTCATTTGCCAGAGAGTATACATAGTTGTATAAGTTCCAACAATGACAAGTGGGGCTTATTACCCTCTGAATCACCCGCCTCACGTGTCTTGTAAATCTGAGCTGCAGCATTTGTAGACAAATTCCATTGAGCAGGACAGGCTTCATTCTTAGGTAAGTGAGATCATTGCTAGAATGTTTAGGACAATTTTACCTTCTATTTCGATAGCAGCAATTTTCTAACTTTAAAAACCCTCACAGATTCCATAACATTTTGAATATTTAGAGCTTCTTCCATACTGCTGAAAATTTAGAAAGATAAGTCAACTAGACACAAACAACAGGATGGTGGTGCGTTGGCTCAGAAAGTGTAGTGAATCTTGTGTTCAACTCACATTCCTTTCTGAGTTATTCTGGATTTGCCAGCTGTAGTAAGTTATGAAAGGACAAAGTCTACTAGCAAAAATGAAAGCATATTATTTTCATTACTGATTGGCTATTTAAAATTTTCTTTTTTAAATATTTATTTATTATATATACAATATTCTGTCCGTGTGTATGTCTGCACCAGACCTCATTACAGATGGTTGTGAGCCACCATGTGGTTGCCGGGAATTGAACTCAGGATCTTTGGAAGAACAGGCAGTGCTCTTAACCACTGAGCCATCTCTCCAGCCAGCTATTTAAAATTTTTAATGAATATTTTTCATTTTACTTTTCTCTGTAGAGTTTTGTCAATGAGAGGCTAGGCAGTACAAATGAACCTTCCTTCACCCTGGCATCAGTTTACCAATGAAGGTCACAATAGCATTGCCAGTTAGAGAGGATAAAGCTAAATGGCTAAGATTCTAGTATGAGAAGAGATTTTTGTATCTGAACTTTCATCTGTACAGAAGCTAAACACCATCGTAAAAGCTTTCAGCGTACACCTCCCAATCTTGAACATTCTCAACAATATACAGAGATAGGAGAGTTGTCAAGCCTAGGCTTTGGATTTCTTATTCTGGATGCCTTTTCTAGGAGACTTTAACAGTCTACATTCAAGAACCTTATTTTCCACTATGTATCACACAGGCAGACTAAGAAAGATAAAATACGTGACTTTGTTGGCATAACCCATTATTCACATTAAGCTCTAGTTGTAGTAGTTATAATAGCTTTTATTTCTATTATTACTCGCCTTTATATAACTCAAGTCTTTAAGATGAAGTCTTTAGTATGTAGATGTTTTGTTGGCTGAAAGTTAAGACTTTTTCTTTGCATTTGAAGTGAGATTATGATTTTCTTTTTTTTTTTTCTTTTCTGGTCGTCTACTGCAATAGAAGAATAGTTTCATTGTCTTCTGTATTTTGAGGTTATTTAAATATTTCTATGCTCACCTAACAGAATCAACATCTGCTCTCCCCATCATAGTTTTTCCTGGCCACATGACTCAGTTGTGCTCAGGGAGAATTACATTAGAATTAAGTGAGATGCCTCTCGCAGGCTCTGCTCTTTCTGCATTTTCTTCACCAGTGTGCATATATCCAGCTGTTACTGCAGACATCAACTTCCAGAGAAGGGGTGTGACAGTATGTAGTCATCATGTGATTGATTGAGGGCCCCCAAGTCTATGGTGTGTATAGCTGCTCATTTCTCTGCTTGCTCCAATAATGAAAAAAAAAATCTCTTTAGGGGGGGATGGGGAAGTAACACGGTGAATGAGAGCATGGGCCCTTCCAGAGGACCCAGATTTGCTACTGAGCCCCCATGGTGCTCACAATGGTTTGT